TCTCACACTGTTGCCTGGGCTGGAGTGCAGTGGCACAATCTCTGCTCACTGCAACCTCAGCCTCCTGAGTAGCTGGGATTACTCCGGGTGGGAACTGCCCTGAGTAGCTGGCCCGCCACCACGCCCAGCTTATTTTATGTATTTTTAGAAGAGATGTGGGTTCACCATATTGGCCAGGTTGGTCTCGAACTCCTGACCTCGTGATTCGCCCGCCTTGGCCTCCCAGAAGGCTGGGATTACAGGCGTGAGCCACTGTGCCCGCCCTTCCTGCAAGAGCTGAAACCTCTAGATGGGTGGAGGTCGAGAGAGAATAGGGCACTGGGGATCCCGGGTTTCCTGCTCTCCGGTCTCCCCATCTCCGGAAGCACTCGATCTCTAAGGCTTCAAGTAGGCCACGTGCCGGGCCTACCCAGCCAGGCTCCCGGGGAGCTAACCCAGACGTCAGGCCCAAGTTCGGGCAGCCGGTCACCACCGCCCACGTCGGCTGCCATTCACTCAAGCTCCCGCTAATCCCCTCTCGCAGTCTGGTGGCTGACTCCGCCCCAATGCAGCGGCGCTTCCACTGGCTCCCACCAAAACTGGGCGCCTTGATTTCCTTCCTTCCCATTTGTCCAGACCAGTGTCAGTTCCGAACACCCACCCATGTCGCTCAGCCATTGGTTTAGAAGTCAGGGATAGAAAAGGATTCTGGTTAACAAGGGAAGCAATTAAAGTCCAAAGCCAACCTCATCACCCAGAACTCATCAGGGATTGGATTAAGCTGACTACCCATCTTTACAAGCACCGCCCCTCACGTGCATTCATTGGCTTGCGCCCACGACTATCAAAACGAACGCCCACCCAGCCAGTCCAAAGGAGTCTTTCACTAGGCCCTGCCTTACAGTCCACGTGACTCTTTGGAACCGTCAATCTAGTTCTGAAGCCGCCCCGCGAATCTGGAACTCGCGCTTCATTGGGCCTCCTGCCTTCGCAGATCCCCGTCATTTGCCCGCCCAGCACCGGCTACTCGCAGCTATTGCCTCTGAGAGCTGTCGGTCACCCTGAGCCTCCCGCCCATTGCCGCTCATTGCACTCCGATTGGCCGCCTCCTTCAGAGCCCGCGATTGGTGTCCGGGGTGCGGCGGCTGCCTCCCACTGGCCCGCCGGAGCTGTCCGTCACGCCGGCGGCGGGAGGGGGCGACCCTCTCCCCCCTCGTCGTCTTCCCAGCGGCTGGGTTCCCAGAGTGCTCCGCGGCTGTGTGGAGCGAGGCCTTGTTCCCGGGTTGAGCTGCCGCCTCCTCCTCAGCTTCAGCCTCCGCGCCAGGCCCGGCCCCGCCGCGCCATGTCGGACTACAGCACGGGAGGACCCCCGCCCGGGCCGCCGCCGCCCGCCGGCGGGGGCGGGGGAGCCGGGGGCGCCGGGGGAGGCCCTCCGCCGGGCCCGCCAGGCGCGGGGGACCGGGGCGGCGGCGGCCCCGGCGGCGGCGGCCCGGGCGGGGGGTCGGCTGGGGGCCCCTCTCAGCCGCCGGGAGGAGGCGGCCCAGGAATCCGCAAGGAGGCGTTCGCCGACGCGGTGCAGCGGGCCCGCCAGGTGAGGAGGCCGAGGGCCTGAGGGGCGCGCTCGCGCTCGCGCACGGGCGGGGGAGGGGGCGGGGGTCACGTGCGCGCGCGCGCGCGGGGTCGCGGAGGGGGGGGCCGGGGCCGTCGCGGGGTCACGTGGGCGGTAGGCGGGGGCCTGGCCCTCCCGCGGTTCTTCGAGTGGGCTCCCTGCGGGTGACCCCCCTGCAGGAGGTAGGGGCGCACTGGGGGTCACCAGGAGCCGTCCTGGATGTGCAGGCGCCCCGGAGCTTGGGGACGCACTTTTGGGACTCCCTCACCCCCCCGCAGTCTTAGGACACACCTGGAGGCAGGGGTCCACCTTACCGGGCGGAGGGTCTTTACCCTCTCCTCCATATCAGGGCAAAGGGCAGGTGTATGTCCCCAACTCAATCCATTTCTGTCCCCTCCCTAGGAGGAAGGGACATTGTGGGGGTGGGAGGGACAGTCCTTTCTTTTGAGTCGGAAAAGTAGGTGGGGGACCTGTCTAGGGCTGAACGCCTGGGCGAAATGGGGTAGATGAGCATAGGGACTGGCTTTTGGATGGTTCCGTGGCTTGAAAGCATGGTCTGTGTCTTTGGGGGAAAGAAGGGAGGATCTCCCACCACCGTGTTTTGAGGCGTGATGACAACAAGGAAGTGTCACATGCTTCTAGGACTGACCTCTCCAGCTCCATTTGCAGCCTCTCTGTGGCGTGGAGGGGTGGGGGTCGGTAGAATGGGAGGACTTTGCCGCCTTTCGGGAAACAGACAGGCTCCAGGGCTGTCCCAGTGCCTCCGGGGCTGGAGAGTGGCTCCTCCCAAGGTGGGAGGTACCCTTAGGTGAACGCCTGTGTTCTGGCCCTCTGTCGTCTCTGACTTCCTCACCCTTGGAGTTGGGTGGGTTCTAACGTGCATTTGGTCTGATTGCCCAGGGAACCGTCTTGATTCTGGGGCAGTTTGAACGGAGGGAACTGTTGCTGTCAGTTGATGGGGAAAGGCCCCCTGTGGGTATCCCATGAGCTTTGGCTCAAGGGCAGCATAGATTTTTCTGTGGAGACTGGTGAAAAGGGAGATTCTTTAACCCAGACTCTGATTTTAAGTTTGCTGGGTTGAGGTTTCTTTAAAGTTGCTCTTCACATGTCTGAGATGTAACTTGTATCCCAAAGAGTCTTGTTTTGGGTGTTTTGTTTTGATTTTTGAGACGGAGTCTCTTGTCACCCAGGCTGGGGTGGAGTAGTGCAATCTGAGTTCACCACAGCCTCCGCCTCTTGGGTTGAAGTGATCCTCCTGCCTCAGCCTCCGAAGTAGCTGGGATTATAAGGGTTCACCACCACATGCAGCTAATTTTTGTATTTTTAGTATAGATGGGGTTTCACGATGTGTCTGGCCAGACTGGTCTCAAACTCCTGACTTCCAAGTGATCTGCCCACCTCAGCCTCCCAGAGTGCTAGGATTGGATTACAGGCATGAGCCACCTCGCCACGCCATCCAGAGAGTCTTGTTTTGGTCAGATGAGGATTTCATATACCTTGAAGTCCTCAAATTTTTTCAATAAATCGATACAAAGATTTTGAGAGTGAAGGAGATAGGGGAAAGTTGAACTCTTCAGCATCCGAGGAGAACTGAGCTAAAAAAAAAAAAAAAACCAACTGGTTATGTCAGCTGGGGCCACTGACAGGAGGAAGTGTCTGAAAGCTCCTGGAGATGACCTGGGGACCCTCCTTGGCACCCGAGCCTCTGTTCCTTTAACCCCTAGGACCAAGTCAGTGTGGATTATAGGCTGGGCACAATTTTTTGTTTGTTTTTTTGAGACGGAGTCTTGCTCTGTTGCCCAGGCTGGAGTGCAGCGGCCACAATCTCGGTTCACCACAACTCTGCCTCCAGGGTTCAAGCAATTCTCCTGTCTCAGCCTCCCAAGTAGCTGGGAGTACAGGCGTGCGCCACCAACACTCAGCTGATTTTTTTGTATTTTTAGTAGAGACGGGGTTTCACCAAAGTTGGCTAAGCTGGTCTCGAACTCCTGGCCTCATGATCCTCTCGCTTCAGCCTCCCAAAGTGCTGGGATTATAGGCGTGAGCCACCACACCCGGCCTGCTGGCCACAATTAAGACACAAATCCCAGCAGAAGGGAAGAGGGGAATTTTGATATTCCTGGATAGCTGGTGAGAACCTTGAGGCCTGGGTTCAAAACTCCTCCTAGGATGTCTTAACCAACAGACCCTTCCCTGAATTGGAGGGCCAAACACCAGGACTTGATGGGCTTTTGTAACCAGGAGATGTTCTGAGAAGTTGAGCTGGGCGCCATGGAGGGTTGTTTTTTGTGGTAATTCTTCTGTGCTTACTACTTTATTCTAGATCGCAGCCAAAATTGGAGGCGATGCTGCCACGACAGTGAATAACGGCACTCCTGATTTTGGTTTTGGGGGCCAAAAGAGACAGTTGGAAGATGGAGGTAACTCCCTGCTGCTGCCTTTAGTTTAGGAGGAAGGGCTGGGGGCAGAAAGAGGTGCTTTTGTTTTGAGTGTGGTTCAGAGCGGGTGGGTGTTGCTGCTGTTTGGTCTTTTAAAACCTCAGCAGTCCTGGCTTTGTTAATTCTTTTTGTTCTGTCTGCCATCCTGAGGTATCAGGTGGCAGAGAGGAGGGCAGATTGATTGTGACTGGGTCGAAGTTAGAAGTTCCCAAGATGATTCCTCCCCTTCTGGGAGGCTGAGGCAACCTGGAGCAGTTAATGAGGCTTGATGTGAAGTTAACCCTGCCCTGGGGCACACACTGTGACCCCAAGTAGCTGGTGTAACCAGTGATCAACTCCTGACCAACTCTACTGTTACCCGGACGCACCTCTCTGCTAGAGGCGGGTCCTGTCCTAAACCGGGAGGACTCAGGTGCCTGGTGGTGTTTGCGTGTTCTGAAGGTTTTTTTTACTCTAAGCATTGGTGGAGGGATTGGTGGAGTCTGGCTCCCCTCTGGGGCGGATCTCTCCTAGGCTCCTGTCTCAACTCTAGGGGTGGGGACAGAAGGGGACTATTTACCTTGGACATGTGGCACCAGCATCAGGTTTGAGGCAGCCATGGGTGGGTGGGTGCTGCATCTGCCATCCTCTCTCTTTCCCAGATCAACCGGAGAGCAAGAAGCTGGCTTCCCAGGGAGACTGTAAGTCCAGGGGGTCTGCAGGCAGACATGGCTTCAGGGGCTTGAGGTTTTTCAGGAGTCAGAAGATAGAAGCACTAAGGAGGTGGCAGCTCTTTACAGAGCCTCCTGGTGCTTCCATTCTGGGGCCCACACATTTGAGGGATCCTAGGACCCCTGAAATAGAGGCAGATGTACTCTGCGCTTTTGTGGGGAGGGGTCCACAGCACACATCAGGCACTGGAATAGGCTGGGACCATGGTGCCAAGCTCTGCCCCCTCTGCCCCTGGGGCAGGCAGTGCCAGGTACCCAAGGAGGAGCTAAGCCAGTCTTTGCTTTGGGTTTTCTCTCTGCAGCAATCAGTTCTCAACTTGGACCCATCCATCCTCCCCCAAGGTAAGCCATGGTGGAGCCCACACGGCTTTCTCATCTGTTGGCCAGCAGACTGGCCTTTCTTGCTGACTTTGGGAGGGCTCTGTCTGGGTGCTGCAGCTCTCAGGTTTTATCCCCTGTTGACAGTTGACCAGAAAGTGCTCGGACGGGAATGAGGCAGAGGAGCTGCCTCCATTCTTCTTACCCCTTGTCTGAAGGGCCGTGGGAGGAGAGGGTCGTGGCAATCACTGTGGTGACAGCATGGTCTCCATACCCTATGGCTTTCTCTGCCGGGGTGGGGACTCTGAGCAGCACAGATGTCTTCTTCCTAGGAGAGGCTGGGAGGGCCTTGCTTCCCTCCCTCATGCATCTTCTGCAAGTGCTCATATCCCGCTCAGTGGTGTGCAGCTCAGGGCTCTTTGCCACCCTTTTGCCCCCCAGATGGACTGAGGTGAACCTGACACAGGTCAGTTGTGAGGGGTCAGTTTTTCGTTGGATTTTTTTTTTTTTTTTTTTTTTTTTTTTTTTTTTTTTTTTTTTTTTTTTTTTTTTTTTTTTT